TTGAAGTGAATTAGGTTTAAATCGCCGTCATGCATGAATTAATTATATTTTTGTAATTATACACATAATAATCCACGATGATTACATTACACAAAACTGAAATTGCACGTCAAAATAACACATTGTCAATATTTTTTGAGACCCCTCAAAATTTCACAAATCACGTTTTCAGGCGAGCCCATGTCTTATTAAGGGGAGCCGAGCTCCCCCTAGCTCCCCCGTAGTTCGCACCCTGATCAACTACAGGTCAAAACTCGCTTTTGCTAGTGTCACAGAACCATACTTTACAATGTGGAGGGAAAAAAAGCACAGAGGGGTATTATATCCATCTCTCTCTGTAACATTAGGTCATTCTCACTTCTTAAGATACCATGTGTACCTTTAATAAATGGAAAACATAAAAATCATCCTGATGAGAAGCTGACCTGAGTGAGATGTCTTTCAGCGTTGTGTCTGGTACCACGTCTCTCGTCTACCTTGCTGGCTGGTTGCCCAGTAATGGCCAGAGGAGAGCACCTGTACGTCGGTGGTATGAGTTCTGCTAGTACTGAACCGTGAGAACCATGGCCCAGTGCTGCCTGCCATACACTTCACCCTTTTAAACACAGACCCAGCCTTTGGGACCTACTGTAGCATTCAAACACAACAAACACACAGCGATCTCACATCTCAACAGACTGTTTGCTTTCCTCTCACAGATTTGATCTTGCTCCATTTTTTTCCTCGTTTCATTCTCATTCTTTATCTGTTTGTCTCTCGAGCTAACTTGGAGGCTGAGATCTGAAATATGTCTTGAATACTTGAGTGAGCCCCTGCAAGAAAGCAAGCTGTAACAGCCTCGGGTAACCCGTGTGCCCAACATGCCCTGCTCTTCTTAAAGTGACCCCTCCATACACCTGCTGAAGTTTGTGTTTGCTTTGGAGATGTTGAGACACTGAATAAACATTCAAACAACTTAGTTCATGAATTCATATATTTCTTTTGTTTAAAAGTTATGGTTTTGTGAGAATCTTAACAAATAAAGCTGTTCTTATAAAGCAAGGTTTTCAAGCAGGTTAAGGTCATTTTTTTCGGCTATACCATTCAAAAGATTTTATTTGATCAAATAAATTGAAATAAATAAAATACAATTCAAATAAATAAAATTCTGTTTGAATATATTTTTAAAAAAGTGATTTATTCCTGTGATGCAAAGCTAAAATTTCAGCATCATTACTCCAGTCTTCAGTGTTACATGATCCTTCAGTAAGCATTTTAATATGCTGATTTGATCAAGAAACACTGCATTTTTATTATCAGAAACTACATTGCTATTATTATCAATGTTGAAAATTATTTTTTTTTTTTTTGATGAATCCAAGTTCAAAAGAAAATAATTTATTTGATTGCTTTGTATGAATAATGTAAAAGTTTTTACTGTCACTTTTGATAAATTTAATGTGAACTTACTGAATAAAAAAATAAAAGTAAATAAGTACAATTTTACCAACAATTTTTAAACAGTAGTGTGGATGATTCAAACTAGCATTTATGATTTCTAACAAGTAACTCATTTTGAACTTTCTAATAAGCTTTTAAGTTTAAATTTCAGCATCATTACTCCAGTCTTCAGTGTTACATGATCCTTCAGTAAGCATTTTAATATGCTGATTTGATCAAGAAACACTGCATTTTTATTATCAGAAACTACATATTATCAATTATCAATGTTGAAAATTATTTTTTTTTTTTTTGATGAATCCAAGTTCAAAAGAAAATATGATTGCTTTTATTATCAATGTTGAAAATGATTTTTTTTTTTTTTTGATGAATCCAAGTTCAAAAGAAAATAATTTATTTGATTGCTTTGTATGAATAATGTAAAAGTTCTTACTGTCACTTTTGATAAATTTAATGTGAACTTACTGAATAAAAAAATAAAAGTAAATAAGTACAATTTTACCAACAATTTTTAAACAGTAGTGTGGATGATTCAAACTAGCATTTATGATTTCTAACAAGTAACTCATTTTGAACTTTCTAATAAGCTTTTAAGTTTTATTTTAATATAGCAATGTTAGTTAATATTTGTAATTAAGGTTATAAAGTGTTACTGATCAAATCTAGCCTTATAGAGGGAGAATTGAAGTGAAGCCCCTTTCTGCCTCATGTATAAATTATTATTTTATAATATATTATTTTTCTTTCTTTTTTTTTACTTTGAGGTGGTAGCAGGCTTCAGGAGGTTCATAGATGTTGAACATTGCTGCGACAAAAAACAAGACAATAAACAAAACAGAAAAAGGTCTTGACTTTATTTTACACATGGATCCCAAATTATAGTGAATTCTGCAAAGAAAATGAGCAACTATTCATTCAAAAACCAAAAGACGGGATCAAGTCAACATTGCCATCTTTTCACTGAAAGTATAGACTTGTGTGCTATTTCCATATAAATCATTTCTACATAAAAGTGGAGATTACATCTTCATCGGGAGCAGCACATAAAATAATCTGATTAATCATTCAGTACTTCAGTATTCATCCCTGTTGAAAGCACCAGTGTATGCTGTGTTTTGCATGCTGGTCTGCTGCCCACCAAGCTTCTTAACTAGCTTAACCAGTCTTTTTACTGGAAAATCATGCTGGTTAAGCAGCTCGAACCACTCTAAACTAGCATAGAAACTTATGCTGGCATTTTCAACAGAATCGCTTTGGCAGAAATGACAAAAACAGATCATATTTTCACATATCCCTTTACCATGACATGCATTTATTAAGATTCCACACTCTGCCTTTCCTTGTAACCATGACACTGAGGTAAGCTTGATTTAATCTGCTCTCTAACTACATGTATCATTTAAATAATAATTATAGGTGGCATCTGTCAGCTCTTGTGAGATCTGACATTTTTCCCAAAGCAGTCGGCACAGGTTTCGTCTGAGTCATGACATGGAAAATTAGAACAGCGTAATAAAATAAAGAGAATCTATTTGCCCCTGGAGACTGAGGGGTCTTTAGCCAATGCACACATCATGAGTCAGTTCAGAAGTTATTTAACACCTCCATCAAAGACCACATGAGTGAATTCATATCAAATGTTATATGACAATACACAATGTTTAAAAAAATGCAGCGAATGTGGATTCTGAGCTCTGTAGCAACACAGATGCAAGCAGTCTCATTTCAGTCAAGGACATTCTGTAGGAAATAACAATATTTACATCCAAAGCAAACATTCATAAAAACGATCTTATATCTTTAAAGGGGTCATATGATGCGATTTCAATTTTTCCTTTCTCTTTGAAGTGTTACAAGCTCTTGGTGCATAAAGAAGATCTGTAAAGTTGCAAAGACTAAAGTCGCAACGCGTAAAAAGACAGTATAAGTCATTATAATCAGTAATTATGTCCCCACTGTATGCTACAAATGCCTCGTTTATAATGGGTTTTACTGGTTTTGTCGTGTCACACACGGCATCACAGTATGGTAAGGGGCGTAACATTTCCCTCACATGCTTGAGGTATTCGGCCAATCACAATGCACTGGATAGCTGGCCAATCAGCGTACACCTCGCTTTTCATACCGATGAGCTTTGTAAAAATCGACGCGTTTCAGAAAGGCGGGGCATAGAGGAGAAACAATAATGTACAGTATGTGGAAAATAATGTTTTTTTAACCTTAAACTGCATAAACACATTGCATTACACCAAATACACAAAATAATGTTATTTTTAACAACGTCATATGACCCCTTTAAAAGACTGTATGGATTAACTATTTTAGTTTTTTTTTTTTAGCTTTTTGACAGGCATGGTCATGTATGAGGAAAAGAAGTTGTGTGAAGATTCTTTTCTATGTTCTATAAAAATTAATAACAGAATACAAGCCTAAAAATAAAATGAAGATGTGTAAATAATGACAATGTTCATATTTGCATGAAACATTCATTTTACAATGAATTGTTCACATGAGGAAAAAAATCGTTTTAATATTTCTACTTCAAAATTTCAATTTTAATTCAGTGAGGTTTTTTTTTTGTGTGAAATTTTCTAGCAATTTCTGTGTGAAAATTGTTTCAAATAAATCCTACACCAAATTATTTTCATTGTATTCACATATTTCCAACTTATATTATACAATATGTATTAACCATTCCTTTAAATTTCTGCTTATTTCTCACACAAAACTATTATTTGTCTTGACTGCACAAGACTGCACAGAAGTTGTATGGACTACTTTTAAGGTGTTTTTTTTCTCTCTTTCTTGGACAATGGCCACGGACACTTTTTTATAGAAAATGACTGTACTGAACTCGAGCATGTTCTAGTACACCCCCAAAACAAAATCAAGACTTTGTAAAAGAGCATAATAGGACCCCTTTAAAGTTTAAAGTAATTTTTGCTTATGGTCATGGCAAATTTTTAAATAAAAAGACATCATATCCTATCAAAGCAACAACCAACACTCAAATGAAACCTTGACATATTTCTATTGAAGTATTTAAAGCTGAGAAAGTCTTAAAATATTAATAATTTCTGTCTATGTTTCTGCAGCTAGATCACTGTGAAATCCCACATGTATAAATCTGAACAACATTTTGCTAAATGAAACACCACTCATTTTTGCAACACTCATCCATGCCAAAAACATGCACCGATCCCAAGGGCAGTCGTGAGTACTGGTGAGGGTCAAAAGTGTATGGTATGAATCTCTCGTGAATGTATTATTCAGAGCACAAGGAATGTAACCTTGCGTGAAACAGATGGCCAGGCATATGCTCTCCTGAAAAATCTGCTAACACGTTGCTGCCGATTTGAGACTGAATGCGCTAGAACTCATAATCGCTTGTAACACGCTGGGACACGGCCTTTTATAAAGATCATTACAATCACAATCTTATCCCACATCACAATTGATGAACATGAAGATCTTTGTGTGGGAATACTTGTTTTATCTTAAAAACAGGGATCTTTTGTGGTTCCCAACTGGAAAGCGAAGCATTATTTATACAGGTCTGTTAGTGACGACACTGCAAGAGCGACAGATCCATGGAGAGTTCATTTTACAGCTGACTCCCAAACACCTCAGTGCGAAAATGAAAGGAAAGCAGAGAATCGGAGACCAAGCAGGGTGGAAGAGATGTCAGGAGAGGGGAGGCACTGCCCTTCATGCCTCCAAGCAAGCAGTAAAGACAGTGAGAAGAGTTAGTACGAGAGGCCAAAGATGGGAAGCCAAGAGCTTGAAGGCTGAGGATCTGTTTCCTCCAAAATAAGCCACCTGGGCTGCAGAGATAAAGGAAAGAGAAGCAAACTACACTGTAAAAAAAGTTTTTATTTGACATTGTAAATAAAGATTATTGAAGCATCTTTTACCCAAAAAAAATCTACTTAAAAATGTTGTTTAATTCAATTAGTTGCTTGCCTTTTCTTTGTAATTTACAATTTTTCTATTCATTTCTGAATGAAAACGGTTTCAAATACATCTTAATTCTACTTTAAGCAATCATTGGGAGAAATTAAAACAGAATGATATTACACAATAGTTGATGTAAAATAAGAATATAGAGTTGTAAACTCACTTTGCATTTAGTCTTGGAAGTGACAAATGTTTGAGTTCATAATGAAATTTCTGACTTGCAAACATTGGTACCTTTGTAGATCTGAGCACAGTTCTGACACATTTTTGAGATCTCGTGGTCATGATCATAGCAAACAAACAAACAAATAAATAACACAACTTCCTAAAGCAACAACCAAGACTCAAATGAAAACTACTGTAGTACACAAGCATAAGAGTAAACCTACTGTTGAATGATTAAATAAAAATAACTTCAACATTTCACATATAATTCAGTGTTACTATTTATGTTATTATTAGAGAATTCCAAGTGAAAATTATTTCTGAAAAATCCTACATTCAAGTTTTTTTTTTTTTTTACAGTGTATTCACAAATTTCAAAAATTAATTGGGAGAAATTAAAATAGAAAGATATTAGAAAATAGTTGATGTAAAATAAGAATATAGAGTTAAAGGTGGGGTAAGCGATTTTTCAAAAACACTTTAGAAAACTGATTCGGGCCGACTAGCAAAACAAATTTGTAGCCAATCAACAGTAAGGGGCGTGTCTACTCATGATGTGGAGGAGAGAGTGTTCAGTGCACGGACATTAGCGAGCCGAGCGACAGAAAGATAGAGATGGCGGATAAAAAACAAAAGAGGAAAACGTCTGCGGAACAAAAGAAGGCTTAAGGCAATAAGGCAAGAAGTAGGACCCATGTAAATATCTGATCAGCTTTCCAGCGCTGGAGAGAACTCAAGGAGCGGAAGGCCTGTGATCGGACGCCGAGGTTGCTTTGTTTCTTCTCGATAGGTGAGTAACACCATGTCTGCGCCGCAACAGCTAAAGTCTGTCTAGTACACTGGACGTGACAAAGCGAACGTTGAAAATCATTTGAAATGTGTGTCAATACATCATGAATAGAATGCAGCAGCAGTTTTCTGTCAGGGATTTGTCATGTCGCGCCGCATCCAGTGGTGACCATAGATATGTATATATATCTATGGTGTAGACAGCATCACTGATTATAATGAGTTCCATAGTATTTTGTCGCACCGCGCCACTCACGTACGGTGTAGACATGGTGTAACATTGGTTTTGCTTTGTTTCACAGAACTAATCGTTGCCTGGGTTGCGTACATATGTGTGGGGCGGAGCTATCAAAATAGGGGCTAGACCCTTTTGGGGTAGGGGCGTGTTTGTTTTTATTGTGATTTCAAATGTCAACATTGGCTACCAGAAATCACTTACCCCACCTTTAATTAATTTGCATCATTTGGTCTTGGACGTGAGAAATGTTTGGGTTCATATTTAAATTTCTGACTTGCAAACTTTGGTATCTTTGCAAATCTGAGCACAGTTTGAGACATTATTGCCCCGAAGCTCAAAAGTGAATCTCTACCTATGTGAAATGAAGGCAAACAGCTTTTCTCAGGGGCTCCTTATTGCATCAATCCACTCTAATCATCTGGCTTTAGTCTCAACTCACCTACACATGCTGTCCCTTCGTCATTAGGCTCGTATCCCTGGTTACACCTCTTGTTTGCACGGCACTTGAAGCTCCCGTAGGTGTTGGTGCAGACGGGTCGCTCAGAGGGACAGACAGACGGGAACTGTGTGCACTCGTCTTGGTCTAGAAAATGAAGAGGAGTGGAATAAATATGCGAAGTTTCAGAAGTGACAACCACATTTTTTTGTGGGAGTGAATACTTTTAGATATCTTTATACTGTATGTGTGCATGGAACAAAGAAGTCGCTCCTGCTACCCCAAACTCATGATGACTGACACAGCTTCTGTTCCAAAATCTGCTGAGTTGCCATGCTGTCTACTGCCTATATAGGAAGATTCCTATTAAGGCAAAATCCTAACTGAAATGGAACCTCATGAGTGACTGATTTGGACTGCTTTGCACCACGTTATCAAACAGGGCTTCATATGTGAATCACATAGGAGACTTGACTCACAGTTTTCCATTAGCATGTCGCCAAAGTAATGACCCAATGCCTTTATTTTATTTTAGGACTTTTTTTTGCTTTCATTCTTGCATGAGACTATACTGTAGATGGGACACACTATAATCCAGGCCGGACTCAAACTTATGTCCCTGAGAGCCAACAATTTATATATGTCCTGAGCATGTGCACAGTCTACAGCTCACAGTAATACTGGGTATAACAGATCATAGTATTATTCATATATTTATATTAGTGCTGTCAAACAATTAATCGCGATTAATCTCATCCAAAATATGTTTTTTCATTTTTTTTTTTATTTATTTATATTTAACTATATATATATATATATATATATATATTTGTTAAGTATTTGTTATTTATATACAAATCTACATATGAGAAGTCATATGTATTTGTTATAAATATTGATTTTTATATTTAATACATGTGTGTGTGTGTGTGTTTATGCTACATTGTGGGGACCAAATGTCACAAGGATAGTAAAACCTGACATTTTTGACATTGTGGGGACCAGCCTGTGGTGTGTGTGTGTGTGCATATGTTTATGGGATTTAGGCCTATGGGATGTTAGAGGTCACGTCGCTCAAAAAACGTACCAGTGCAACGGCCATTTTCATTGACCTCAAATCCTGGTCCACACTGTGAAAAGAAAGAGCAACTGTACAACAATTAAACCCCTCAAATAAAGAAGAACACGTGAGTATGACAGGTAGGGTATGTACCTCGATCTCCACCACTTGGGTCGCCTCTTCCTCATTCTCAGGGTAATAGATCTCCATCACTTTGTTCATCTCGCTGGGCTCCAGAGCTCTCGCCACAGAACGTCCATCTGGCCAGAACACTTCCACACTGGTGGCCACATCTTTCCCTGTCAGGGCGGCAAAGCAGCAATCCTTTCAGTACTTCATGAACAGTCCGTCTTTATAACTTCCCCTCAGGCTTAGGAGACATAATGAATTATTTATTTTCTTAATGTACAGCTCTCCATGGAAAAATACCATTCTGGAGAAAGGGCCCTCCCAAGAAGATTCTCGGCAAAAGCCAGGTTGGAATAGGCTCTGGTTTGGCACAGACCACGTAGACTCTTAAACAAATGCACAAGAATGCGTTCAGTCTCAGCTGTGGGCAGCGTCGTGAGCAGCGAGGCCTGAACACGTCTCATTTGATGTCAGCAGAACCGGTTTCTCATGACTGCCGGTGTGTGGGGTTCACAGGCCAGAGAGTTTCTGGCATAGCAGTCACTGAGGCATTAAAGCAATGAGGTTCTCATATGCCAGACCGATGAAATCTGTCTGTTGTTCGGTGGCTGAAATAAGGAGCCATATAAATGGCACGGTGGTTGGAAAGCACTTCATTTAAGAAGGTTTACAGAAGCATCCATTTACTACCTTCAATCTGATTGTCAGAGACACTTTCTCACAGACGGCGGGGACAGTAATTAACACGGCCGTTAGAGGAGACTGTCGTAGTGATCATGAACAGAGAGATCATCCATTGGAAATGAATGTGGTGGAGGAGGAAGGAAGAACTTCAAAGGAGTTAAAATGAGGAGGGACAGGGTGGGCGCTAGACTTTCTTTCCATTATAGCCTTTAGTCAAGCAGGAGAGAAGCTGACTGCCTTCCCAGTTCTTAATTAAAGCGACATTTCTTAGGTAAACAGATCCACGGGGCTCCTGGCAGGACCAAGGCTGGCTCAGGTGCCTCGCGAGACAAAAAGCATGACATTTCACCAGCGGTTACTGAAAGACGCAGTTTAGTTGGAGAGGACAACTGAGCATCTGTCGGGTTTTTATTTAATAAAGGCAATCTTCAAATTCAGCATGTGAAAAATGATTGTTGATTGCAGGGTTTAGGTAACTGCATGTAATCCTGATAATATTCACTAACAAAAATTACCATGGTACACTAACTAATTTTTTTTTTTATATATAATATATTTTTATATATTATATTTAATATATAGTTGTTGTTTTTTTTAGATTTTACCATCTCATCTTTTTCTTTGTCTGAGAAATCAAAATACTTAAAATATCAAAATAAAATAAATTAAAAAATTAAATGAATAAAAAATGTATTTATTTTTCTGTTGAGGTGTATAAAGGTATTTTTAGTCTGAAAAATCTAAAAATTCAAAATGGAAAAAATCCAAAATCAAATGTTTAAAAAATTCCATATTTTATAAAGCACATTTTTTGTCTGAGAAATAAAAAAAATATATGAAATATCTAATAATCTTAATTAAAAAAATAATTAATTAATTAATTTAGTCTAAAAATATATTTTTAAAAATGTTTTTGGCATGATCAATTTTTTAATTTAATTTAATTTTTTTATTTACCATGGTATGTTTTTTGTTAAAGAAATCTAAAAATGCAAAACTCTTCTAAAAAATGAATTTGAAAAGTTTCAGATTTTTCTGAAAGTCTGAATTTCGAAGAATTAAGATTCTGCTCGATTTAAACTAATTAGGTCACTAAGCAAATTTGTAAAATCCAGTTTAATCTGAAACATAACTGAGAACTTTATTGAAAACTAAAGTCACAATATAAGATATAAACTCACAAATGTGAAATGTACAGTCACAACTGTGAGAAATAAAGATGCACTTGTGAGATATAAGGTGCCATTGTTAGATATTATGTCATACAGTATTTTGAGACAAAGTCACCATTTCAAGAAATAAAGCTGCAATTGTGAGATAAAAATGTGTTAAAAATGTGTGTTTAAAAAAATAAATAAAGCATTAATACCATAATCTGACACCATAAACTGTACTATGGATTTATTTTGTAAAGCAGATATTTTACATCAGTTTGCAAACACTCTTACTGAAAGAAACATCGATGAGAGGCCTGAACACGTACGCACATATTTACGGGGCCTCAGGGTGATCCAGTGACTACTGATGGCTATCGTTTTGTTTTTCACAGCACATTCATAACAATCTGAGCTTCCAGCTGGCAGCCTATTCCTGCCACAAATCTGTCCGATAGCTCCCAGATGAAGCCATGTGCCTCCAAGCATCTGTAACACGGCCAAGCCGTGGGGAAAAGGTCCCGGTCTGCTGCCACCGGCTGCTGCACCTGCAGGCTTCTCTCCGGACCTTCAGTCTGTGAGGATATTCAAGGAGCCGGCCTCCACGCGGAGGATTATGTTACTGAGACCCGAAGCCCCCCGCTGAACATGACCTGGAGTTACATCATAATTGTTTCTCTGTAGTGAGTCAGCAGAGCGAACGCTTGTTTTCCCGCTGCTCGGCGACCCCGAACATTTCCGAGATGGTGGATGCACTTATGAAATAGATATTTTACAGGTCTGGTCAATTTCATAGCTGTTCCTTTCTTAATGTGATTTTCCCGCAAAGATTTTTTTAGGCAGGCTTTTTAGGGAAAGAGAGTGGGAAAGAAATACATACCGAGTCCAAAGTGAGCCACTGGCTCCATCTCGCACAAGTACCCTGATCCTCCATCTATAATGCGCATGTGAGGGCCGTTTCGCTTGGTGTAGACTATCACCTTTGCCCCACGCGCAAAAGCCCCAAACTGTGTGCGTGGAATCACACGCAGCCATTTATTAGATGAGCCCTGTAATGAGAAACCAACAACTAATAACTCCATGTCAGAACAGCACTTTCAGTTGATAAACTTTAACCAGAAATGCAAAATACTCTTTTTAGGATGACCATACATCCTCTTTTTGCTTATGCCCTGGTCTGGAATTGCCTGCAATGTCTGGCTTTCGGCTTTGTTTTCATACTTGATGAAGGTAATGACTGAAAACTAGTTCGACCAGTTGCGTTCAGGCATTGTGCATAATCAACCAGTAGTGGTGTGTAAGAAGGTGGGATCTACAGAAAACTGTCAAAGCAATGCAATTATGCGTACATATAATATATGAAGACTGCAGAGAGCACGTCAATAGGAAAACGAAGCCAAAACCTTGACATTTTAGGAATTTTGAATTCTGGGAAAAGAGGAAGCATGGTCACCCTAATGTTTCTAAGCTATCATGATGCATGCCTAAAAATTGCAAATTAGATCTATTAATTAATGAATTTTCTTCTAGACAGCAATGAGATTAAAAGGAGAGCAAATGGAGATTTTTACCACTGAGAAATAATTCCAAGATAATTCGCCAAATGTATGAGATTTTGAAATTAACTCTTCAAATTCTTCCTAAACCATATTATCTGATCTATGCTATCCACATTCACTGTATTTCTATATTTTTTTGTTTTATTTCTAATAATCCTTGCAACGTGGAGGTACTATTTTCTTTGAGACTTCCGATGTATTAAGCTGCCATTAGTAATAACTAGAAAAACATCAAAGTTAAGTATATGGTACAACTATTTGCTCTACAAACCAGTGTGTTTATGATTATGATAATAAATTAGAATAATATATAATTCCAGTTAGTAGTATAAGCAGCATAAAGGACTTCAAGTTACATTCAAGTTACAAATGACCGCGGCCGATTCTATGTTATACAGTTGTATCATTTGTGAATACCGCACTTTTACTTCTCTTAAGGAATTGCAGGGAAAAAAACAAAAAACATTTGAGATGAAGTTGATGCTAAAACCATGTGTAACTTATTTCTCCATGAAACCTTTAGTATTTTGCCTAAAAGTGGCTGACAGGTTTAAAACACGTCCTCACCTGAGTGACTCGATACACCGAGATGGGTTGAGCTGCACTTTCCCCGTGCGTCACCAGAAGATCCAGCTGTCCATCTCCATCAAAATCAGTCACAGCTGCTCCTGAAATACAGGTCATTCTACTCAGACACAGCTGTAACAATTGTTGTTTCTGGTTCTCAACATTAATACCAAAAAAAAAAAAAAATTTAACTTTAGACCAGTTCTACATTAATACAGTGGGTTTCTAATGATGATGATGATAATTCAGATTGAGTGGTGATTGCACTCGATTCTAAATGTCAGTAAATGCCCCACGATACAGTTACAAACAAGCTTGGATTTATAATGCCATCTAGTGGTAGAGAGGAGATAACTAGGCTTAAGGTTTGTAGATAAACTCAATCATCCCATCACTGCAGAGTTTAGTCGTTTGTTCATCTAGTACAGTGGTTCCCAACCCTGGTCCTGGAGGCACCCCAACACTGCACGTTTTGCATGTCTCCTTAATTAAACACCTGATTCAGGTCATCAGCTCATTAGTAGAGACTTCAAGACCTGAAATTGGTGTGTCAGAGAAAGGACACTTGCAAAATGTGCAGTGTTGGTGTGTCTCCAGGACCAGGGTTGGGAACCACTGCATTAAACTACATAATAAATATATATATATATATATATATATATC